TACATTTATGATTACAAATATACTTACTATTACAAATCACTACATAACATTACTAGTGCTAATTGATCATATAAACACTAAAGACAGAAAAGATATAACTTAACATTATCATTTAAGTGTGGGAGAGCCATGCTTCGGCACGAATGGGACGGCTCGACCGGAGTGATACCACGGCTTCAGAGAAAACCGACGTGAATCAACGCTTGTATTGTGTTTCGTCGTGTGAGTGAGGTTACCGGAGGCCCAATTACCCTCCCCATCCCCAATTTCCCTAATTCCTGTATCCCCCCCAACGGTCCTCAAACTCATAATCCCGAATACGCCGGTAACGCACTTGTATCGCCTCTGGTGTTCCAGGTGTCCATGGGCGACGCCGATTGCTTACCATCAGGTGATCCGTCTGCTCGTTTTCCAGCTTATGCCATAAAAAAATCATGCCTTTTATCCTTGAAGAGGTAGACAGAAGTGCACATTACGGTACTTAATGCCAACCAAAGCTTAACTAATGTTTATGATATAATGAAACAACATGATATTACCTGTTCAGACCTGTCAGTACGTGATCCTGATATCGTTAATTCATAGATATCAAACATGTATCAATAGATAGATAAATATAATTATCTATTGCCTAAACATTATTTATAACTAATTATCTACGTATCCATTTCCTAAACAATTGCTAATTCATTCTCTGATGAACTTTTTTTTATGGCATAAGCCGGTAAACGAGCAGACGGATCACCTGATGGTAAGCAATCGGCGTCGCCCATGGACACCTGGAACACCAGAGGCGTTACAAGTGCGTCACCGGCTTTTTAGGGATTAGGAGTTTGAGGATCGTTGGGGATTCAGGGATTGGGGAGATTAGGGAAGGGGAAGGTAATTGGGCCTCCGGTAACCTCACTCACACGACGAAACACAACGCAAGCGTTGCTTCACGTCGGTTTTCTGTGAGGCCGTGGTATCTCTCCGGTCGAGCCAGGCCCTTCGTGCCGAAGCATGGCTCTCCGACACTTAAATGAATATAAATAAACCATTTTATTTAGGGGTGAAAACGATTTAAATTCCGCGGTGTATTCTCGAAATAACATTTCTATTCCTCGTTTCTCAGAAGCAGCCTTTATTAGAACATACTAAAATAATCATAATATACTAAAGTACCATAAAAGTTATTAAAGAAGATCATATTACTGAAACATAATATCCCAAACTCATACTGTACTTCAGTAAGAACAGAACTCGGAACTAACCAGGCGGTCATTGACCCGTAGTACTTTGACAAATGAGTTCAAACATGATAAAAGGTAATTGTTATCAGTCAGGTTAAAGTTCGGGCTGAGATGAAAATCAAAACTTGTTTATTTTGCAGAGAAACAATAACTCTTTTTTAATGAAGTGGAAGGTCAAAGCTAGCCAGGAGTGCTTTGAACGTGATATTCTTAATAGTCATCTATTACATTCAAGACATCAAAGACTGATCATTTTATATGTGTACCGATTTTTGCTTTAACTTTAGTAAACAGTAAGTATGGGAGAGCCATACTTTGGCACGAATTGGCCGGTTCGATCGGAGTGAAACCACGGCTTCACAGAAAATCTATGTGAAACAACGCTTGCGTTGTGTTTCGTCGTATGAGTGAGGTTACAGTAGGCCCAACTATCGCCCCTCCCCCCAATCTTCCCAATCCCTGAATATCCAAACATTCCTCAAATTCCTAATCCCCAAAAGACTGATTACGCATTTGTAACGCCTCTGGAGTTCCGGGTGTCCATGGGCGACGCTGATTGCTTACCATCAGGTGATCCGTTTGCTCGTTTACCGGCTAATTCAATAAAAAAGACAGGTAAACCAATTTTCAGATATTGTTGCACAGCAGATATTGTTATGAGAGAGACAGGGCTTCGCTGGTCCTCATCTTATAGTCCTCCATCTTATACTATTGTGTAAAGCGGAAGAGTTTGTTTTTTTTGTTTGTTTGTTTGAACTCGCTAATCTCCGTAAGACTAGTAGAGTCTGATTTGAATAATTATTTTTGTGTTGGATAGCGCATTTATCGAGGATGGCTATAGGCTATAAAACATCACGCTACGACCAATAGGAGCTGAGCAGAGCGTGTGAAACCGCTAGAAGCGGAAGTAGCTAGTTTATAACCGTAAATAATATACCATACCGAAACTCTGGTTCCAGAATCGAACTTCTCTTTCGTTCCAAAATCCTTAAACGGATTGACCGTTTCAGAATTAATTGAAGTAAACGCTTTGACTTTGACTTTGAATCATATTACTAACAATATAATAATATTATTCATATATTTTTTTAAATTACTCTCAAATAACTAAGTCACAAAAAACATGCAAACTATCAATTACTATGTACGTAAACTCAACTTATACGTAACTACGTAACACAATAATATTATTCTGGACTACGCATCATTGTAATTACGACTTAATAACATGGCTCGATGCAGGGCTACGTAATAATGACGTATTCCGTAATTATTAGATACAGAAACACGCAAAAACATGTTTACTAATAAGAAAGCTAAAAAAATATTGCTCTATACTGTAGGGACGTCGCGGAGAACCTAACGGGTTTTTAGTCAGTAAGAGTCTGACACTCCCTCCCGCCTCACCCAGGAAGGATTATTCGATGATTTTCCCCCTTAAAAAAAAAATACTGTAGGGACGCTTTTATCAACATCATTTTATATCATCATCATCATTTCATTATATGGGCAAAGGCCTCCCTACCCTCCTTCCACTCCTCTCTATGTAAAGCTTTTTGCTTTGCAGCCAATGCTTGTCATAGATGTCCAGTTCGTCCCACCATCTCCTTTTGGGCCTGCCGCGACGTTTACTGATGTTGAGCGGGCTCCACTTAGTCGTAAATTTGGCCAGCGCTGGTCTGACATGCAGACCAGCAGCTTTAGCCATAACCATTTAGCGCTTGTCTACGTAGAATAGAAAAGCAAATTATATGGAATTGACGTAAATTTTGACACTTGTCAGTGTCATCCCCATACATTTTAATTTCTACTCTCTCTGTAGACCAGCGCTGAAGTGGCGTTTGGCTAAAGGCCCTGCTGCATGTCAGACGCATGTCAGTTCTATAAATAATATCATATTTTACTTTTGTGTAATTGTATATTTTAGCCCTCTGGAAATGTAATATCTAACTGATTTTAAAATAAAATAGTTCCGACAAAAGTTTTCACTTTTCAACTTTAATTAAAATGCATAAATACAGAAACTATGTATTATTAATCCGCAAAAGTATATCTTCAATGCAAAGACTTTTTACAGCAAATTAGTTTCCAAAGTTTTTATGAAAAGTCTAAAAATCTTAACTTACATTGTAATTTAGAAAAAGAATGTTTTTTTTTGTTTTCTTTTATTTCAAAGTAGTTAGGATTATAAACATTTTATATAGGTATCGAGTGAAGTTACTTAGATGTATGTACGGTCAAAGGTCAAAAGTCCACTGCCACCGTAAGACTACTATCGGTTGCGCTGCAGGGCTTATATACACATGCAGACGCATATTGCGCATAACATCACTCACAGTGGACTTTTGACCTTTGACTGTACATACCTACCTAAAAGTTAAAAAGTAAAGTCAAAGACAAAGCATTTTTTTAAACGTTTCTCCTATGTCGTGAGTGCACTTACAAATACACAATTTAACATACACATCACACCCAGACCCGAAACAATAATTTGTGGATCACACATTTGTTCCCGTTCGAACCCGCAACACGCTGCACCGCAGACGGTTGCCCAGCCACCGCACCAACCATGCAGTCGATTTATTTCAATTAATCTTTGAAAAGGCACTTTTGAAACGCCAAATTAAATTAAATTTTCAGTAGTGTGTTTTTGCCTCGACTGTACTTTCTACGTATGAAATAATACACAATTCATAATAAGTTATTATGCGTATGATATATGTGTTTGTGTGGCATTAACAGCAATAAAACCTACGTAATAAGGTATGAAACCTGGTGACCTGTAACATATTCATAATTTTGTTTTTCTTTGTAAGTACTTATTGACGTCAATTTTATATTATTCAGTTCTAAGAAATGATTAGTTGAAAATATAACATAAAAATGGTGTTGCAGTGCAAGTTCGAAGTTCAGACTGGATATAGATATGGATTCTGTTTCATAAATGAATTCAAAAAAGGGTTTCCATATTTATAAAACTACAAAAATTGTACTCAAATCTTTGCTCAGCATTGTTGTAATAATCTTTTTTAATATTCTAATTTGATGACATATTAAAAGGTCTGCTTTTTAATGAATATGGTTTGAATAACTAAAAGTCATAATAAATGTAATAAATATTTTATTCGAAAAAATGTAATGAAAACTAAATCTTAATATTTAACAGTACCTACAGCCTATCATACAATTTATCGTTCTCTAAATATAATAAATTACATAATTAATACTATTTTTGGTTATCAAAACTTAATTTAATATACATAAACTAATAATACATCACTTACAGATACAATCAAAAACACCTACTTAGAAATCATATAAATATTTGCACTTTTACTATAAGTCAAAATTTAAAAATAATTCAGAAGATATGGCAATATGCTCACCTCCTATTACATGGGACTCATAACATAAATAGTGAAAAGTGGGAGTTACATTGTACAGTGGCACTAAGTGCATATAATGTAATGCAATGTAATGTAATGTAATGTAATGTAATGTAATGTAATGTAATGTAATGTAATGTAATGTAATGTAATGTAATATAATGTAATGTAATGTAATGTAATGTAAAGTAATAATGTAATGTAATGTGCACATCTGCCCCTTCGGGGATATAAAGGCGTGATGTTGTTATGTCAAAATTTTGGTGATGGGTACCTTGTCCATTAATTTGCCATCGTTTGACATATATGCTCGTTCACCGCTTTATCCCATAAAAATGCTGCTATATCGCAAGAAACCTAAGAGTTTGTATTTTTTTTTCATCTATTTAAGTACATCTTTGGCGTTATCCAGCCAGTGAGGCCACGATTCCACCTGCTTCCTTAGCATATCTCCAGGGCTGTCAGTCATAGAGAGCTGACTGTGAGCCACCAGGTGATAATCCTTAGCCAGATAGCTGTTCGTAACTCCACATTCCAGGAGACTGTTGAAGGCTTTCAGAGCTTGTGGTGATGGTAATTTTGCTGTGAATAATAAAAGATGTTTTATATAGTGATTTATATTACAACTTTCGTAAGACATACTATATTAATTATTATGTTTTTGGTTTACATACACGACGACAGCGCGGAATGTTGCTCAATAATATGAGCCTTCAGCATAGCTTGAAACTAGTCGAGTTCCTTATCAAACAGTTACGTCAGTAAGCCGAAAACACAACAATAATAATGTTATTGTTTGTTTAAAATTTTAAAAAACTTTACCCTATCAAAGATCTGCATTAAGATTTCGAATTTTATTTGATCTTTTAGAAAGTTTAACCAAATTTTATACCATCTAATAAAAGATTGAACAAAACTTTCAATTCAGTTCTTAATGATGGGTTTATAATAGGGACTCAATTTTTATATCTGTACACGATGTTAGTTCTATATGAATAGCGTATTGTATCTTTATTACAAGCTCGGTACATTAATAATTCATGTCGTCTTATAAAATCCTTATCAGAAATTCGAATCAATTTTCTCTTATCTTCGCTCGACCATGTTTATTAAAATCATATTCTATCAGGGTCTCCCTGCACAATATGTGACGCTCCAGGGCCGTATCCAGGTCGGCCTTATTCACATATTTACTGAAGCTCCAACACCAACGTGATTCCAAGGACTTCATGTATAATTCACGCACAGATTCACGGCCCTGATCTGACCCTGACACGGTAATAATCGGTGTGGTTCTCCGGGAGTTTGCGTGAAAAACCTTTACGAAATTATGAAATTTTTGTTCACTTCAAATTATATTTTGTTTGCATTATAGCTATACAAATGGGATTACCTAACACTGTTATTTACTTTAGTATTTAGGTACCGTGAAATTAGCCTATTGTTCTAAATGCAAATAAGTACTTGCAAAAGTAGATTAAAATAAACTTTTAGTTTCCAATAAGGCGATCATCATGTTTACTTTTTCGCCATTACCAAAATCTCGTATTACTCAACAATCATTTGCATTCGATGTCTATAAACTAAAGTGGATATTAATTAAATAAAATACAACTTACTTCTAAAATCGCCTATGAAGGAGATGCCTACAGATCTTCGGTTATAGCCCAAAGTATGAGCCCCAACGTGATGCCAGCCAGCTCCTTCATAAACTCTTCCATTTCCACCAATTAGGAACCTGGGAATCCATCAAAACTCATTGAACTCAAAGAAAAAAGTCTTAAGGGAAATCAAGGGAATGGGAACTAATTTGGCCAATTAGCAATCTGTGGTAAGTACAAAGAAGTTGAGGAAACTACTTAGAAAGGTTTCTGACCCTTGTATTGTTAGTCAGCTTAAGTGATTGACTGCAAAGGTTTCTTCGAATTTGGCGAAGTTATTTTAGTTTGTGCAATATCATCATTAATTCAGCGATTATTACAAATACACAGGTTGATAGCAACCTGTGTATTTGTATAGGGAACCTGTGTATTTGCTTTCCATAGGGAAAGCCAGAAAAAAACCGCATTTTCGTAGTCTATTGTAAAGGTCATACCGTGTGTAAGTCAACATGAAATATCGGACACGGATCCTATGTGACTTTCAAGATCTAAAACCAAAAATCTAGACACGTTTAATCAATACTTCAATCTATGAGAAGAATTTAAACCCTATCACAAAACAAATACGTACGATTGTCCTATATCTGTGAATCCACGTTTGTTAATGTGGTAGTTCCTGATTCCGTTAGCTGCTTTCTCGCACTCTTCGTCATTATTACACTCCGGTACCACAGTGTGTTGGATGATCACAATTTTTACTGGATTCGGAAGAGGCTCCTCCCTTTTGAGAGGTGAATCTCCCCATTGAGTTATCGGGATCACATCACAGTCTCCATCTAAAAATATATTACTTTATTGTTTTTTGTTTAAATGTTATTTTTAATCTCCTTCTTAAGCAAGAGAAGTAGGCAGATTCTAACCGCGATCAACTTTGTAAGAATATACCGGCTGCAAAAGGAAAAAAATCCTAACAAAATTATTCTGCGTTTGACCGATTGCTTTTATAAATTAAAAAGACAATTGTTTCACACTTCTTCAATGGACAGAATCTATCAAAGGGATCTGTAACTAATGATTCCCCAAAAACTTTGAGAGCAAACAATCAATGTAATTAATTACTCAAAAACTTACCTTTTGCCTCAGCCATTATCTTCACAATTAAGGCTAAAAACAGAAGAATCTTCATTTCAATATAAACAAAAAAGGACCTAACTCCAAGTAAGTCTAAGGACTAAATTCTGACCTTACTTTCGAACCAAATTCTGAGATGTTAATGCACAATTTATTGCATTAATACTCTTTATATATTAGCTGAAACATCATCAGGGTAAAGAACCTTTATCTTTAGGAAAATACAGACTATTCTCAATATAAATTCCGTTATGCCCTTTTAATGGATTTCCTCACATTGTCGATGATAAGAGACGCTGTATTGGGAACAAATAAATAGAAATGTAATATTATTTTTTATCTTGTTTAACCACGAGTAGTGGACTTATGAGTAATGTGAAAATAAACTACATCATAATGTACCAATTGGTTGAGTAATGAAACTTTTTACAACAGAGTTGGCAGCGCATCAGATCAGCCAGTGACGCTCTGGAGTTGCTGACGTCAGTAGACCACCACAACTGGTTTACGTCAGGAGATCGTCACTTCACTAGAAGAATTTAGTGCAACAATAATAAAAGGTTCAAATCTTTTATTAGATTGCAATTTGTGGGTTTATACCTCGTGTAATATCCAAAATTAATTAGGTACTTACACCTTCCGAGAACCAGAGACTTTGAAAAAATGCCTTCAAAGAAAATACAAAAACACAAAAAAAAATAAAAAGAATATTACTTTTAACAAACCTTTCCACAAATATATAGATACTGTTTTATTTTTAACATAAATGTTATATTAAATTATACAAACAAACGTAAGTCAAACGTAAGCACAGATAAGGAATGATGCAATGAATGAGTTAGTAATCTTGAGGAAGTAATATCATTTATTGGACGAGGGGAGTTACAATAACCCTTCTCGTTTATTGCAAATATTACGTGCAAATTGAAGTACAAAAAATACGCATAAACAAACAAACATTATGAAGTACGTTTCAAAACACCGATTTCAAGCCTCTCTTTTTTTGGAGTCAGTTAATTAATATATTAAAACCATCTCATTAATATATTAAATGTAACAAACAGTATACGCAGCCGCGGAGGACTTGACGGGTTGCCGGGGCTCCGACTCGAAGTTCAGGAGTAGGAACGGGGTGGTTATTAGTCAGTAAGAGTCTGACACTCCTCGCCTCACCCGGGCAAGAGAAGTCATTGGATGATTTTCCCTCCTCAAAAAGAAAAAAGTGTAACAAACTCTATTCTGAAAAGTGTATCAAAATCAGTTCAGGTAATCATGAGATCATCGCGCACAAACATACGTACATACAAGTTAAACTGAGAACCTAACTTCTTTTAAGTCGATTAAAAATTTTAAAATTTGTCCAATCTCTGGAATGATTTCAAATCGATTAAAAAACTTGGTTAACACCTCGGCTTGAACTATTTTATATTGTACTCGAAAATAGCAAATAGCTCGATCTTAGCAACTCAATTTAATTACTATAGTACATTTTTTTAAGGGGAAAAATCATCGGATGACTGCTCCCGTCTGGGTGACTCTTACTGACTAAAAACCACCCCGTTCCTTCTCCTGCACGTCGAGCCGGAGCCCCGGCAACCCGTTAGGTTCTCCGCAACTACTATAGTACATTAGCATCGTATTTAAATGTACTGGGTATCATTTAATGATAGGTACATCAATGAGGCATTCAATCTGTTTAATTAAACACAACTACAATTAAACAAAAACAATACAATCAATGTAAAATGTAAACAGGAAAATAAACAATGAACATTTTGATTTAATATGAATAAATTAATGTTTAATTTGCAAACAAAAGCAGTCAATATATGTAATCGTGCGTAATCACGCGGTGTTGGCTTAATGTGCACACGGTTCGAGTTATTATCAAATGTAAACACGAAATTTAATTGAGTACCAATATGCAAATAAGGATATTTTGTACGGCCGGAAGGGATGGGGGAATATCTTCTTTAAGTATATATAATTTTTTAGATACAAGGAAATTAATGCGAATTCTCTTCATGTAAGTGACATGTATTTCAAATTATAAAGCGTTATAATATGTATATATTTACAATATAAAGAAAGGAAAGAAAAATATATACACAGAAACACTAAAACTAATGGAAAAAATTAAATAAAAGAAAACTAAAAATTGCTATTTACAGAGAGCATCAAATAATTCGTCCGCATCGACGTCAATTGGGAAAGTACACAGAAGGCTGGCAGCATTGCCACGTTGTATGTTAATGCTTAACCTCTGACCGAGAAGCAGACCAGCCCTCTGGTCTCGAGATGCGTCGACCAGGCGTTTTCAAATTTAATTCATAATATAATGTTTTTTTATGTAAGTATTTAGAGATTTTTACGTTGGTGACGGTAAAGTTGACGGTAAAAATTGGTCATCTCTTCTTCTTCTCTCGAGACAGATCAGTGGCAGAACCTTTTAAACTACGATCTCCAAAGCGCATATCAAGCGTGAAGATTTAACCTCTTATGTATCGAAAGAAGTATACAGAGCGGATATGAATGGGGCCGTCGGTAGAGGGTGCCCTAGATGGACATGTACTGACCAAATTGGCGATATATTAAAGAAGGGTCAAATTAAAAGTACCTTTTACCGACGAGCATGCATGAAAAGATGAATGACTGTTGATGAAGCGAAAGAGGTATGTAGGAATCGTAGCAATAGGTGTTCAGGCGTGAAGTTATGTAATAAATAACATAACATATAACATCACGCCTTTTAGCCCGAAGGGGTAGGCAGAGGTGCACACAGAAGTGACACCCACTTTTCACTATTTATGATATGAGTCCCACGTAATATGGGATGAACCTATTGCCATATACCGGGCACATTTCCAGACTCCGTGCTACTACTGAGTTTTTTTTTAAAACCCAGTACTACTTTGCCCGACCCGGGAATCAAACCCCCTTGCCTAGCAGTCGCACTTGCGACCACTTGGCCAACGAGGCAGTTGGGCGGGAAAATACAATTATAATATAATTATACAGGTGTATCACAACCCTAATTGAACGCTAATTACTGTGTAACTAAATCCTTATCGCTCACTATTAATGAGCGTTTAATATATTAAATATTGTATTAATCAGTGCATTATTTACATTCATTGATAAGCTAATCTACTACGCTTTACGTGTTATTTATAGAACTTAAAATAAATACTAATAAATGACAATTTGTGTCTCAATTGCATCATTTTGATAAGTAGTAAAAAGTCATCATTAACCATCATTATCACATATCAGTCTACTGATATATTATGGACTTTTCTCTATAGGTACATACACGTAAGAAGACTGCTCCACGTTTGGTTAGAAATCGGACTGCTATCTGGTTTATGTTAAAAGATATTATAGAATAGAATAAAACTTCCTATTAGATATAAAAGAATATAACTGCCTCATTGGCCGAGTGGTCGCAAGTGCGACTGCCGGGCAAGGGGTCTCGGGTTCGATTCCCGGGTCGGGCAAAGTATTACTGGGTTTGTAAAAACCTCAGTAGTAGCACGGAGTCTGGAAATGTGCCCGGTATATGGCAATAGGCTTTTATCCCCAAAGGGGTAGGCAGAGATGCACATTATGCCACTGTACAATGTAACATCCACTTTTCACTGTTTATGTTATGAGTCCCATGTAATAGGGGGTGAGCCTATTGCCATGTACCGTGCACAATTCCAGACTCCGTGCTACTACTATTTTTTTTAAGCCCAGTAATTCTTTTCCCGACTCGGGAATCGAACCCAAGGCCCTCTTGCCCAGCAGTCGCACTTGCGACCACTTGGCCAACGAGGCAGCAAGAATCCTTACTAATATTATAAATCGGAAAGTGAGTTTGTTTGTTTGTTTGTTCCGCTTTCACACAGTAACTACTAAACCGATTGCTTTGAATTTTTGCAGACGTAAAGTTCGAAGTCCGGATTAAATAATAGGGTACTTTTTATCCCGGAAAAATTAAATATTCCCGTCGGAAAACAAAAGTATTGGTATAGATGTCGCTGTGTGTATTGGTATATATCAAATGGGCTACTTTTTTCCTTTTGTGACGCGAGCGAAGCCGCGGGTAAAAGCTAGTAATTTATATTTCTCAAAAACAAACGACAAGTAATAATGGCAATTTTATTCAGAAAATGCCATTGCCGCTTTTTGGCCGCGTTGCATAGCAGCCAGTTACCTAACCACTGCGCCAACAGTGGAGACACTTGGATAGAGAAGAAGTGGCAGTCCATTTATTTCTTCGGTATTCTTGTGCCTTTCCTTTCGTTAACATTCAAACGTTTGCATACATACATTCTCCAACGATATTTTATTTTATATTTATCTAAATCAAAGAGCAATTAACAATAATTACTGGAGTCATTGCACCCAATCAAAATCCATTCATAAATGATTGACAAGGGCTATTAGAAACTCCAGTAATAAGTCAAAAGACGTAATTAATATAAGAAAATAAAGTTAATTGATAAATAATACGAAGAATAATAATTGTATGTCTTTTAATAAAGTTGTATTCTATTTAAGGTATAACTAATGATTATACTTGTCAAAGTTTATAAATGCACTAATTATAGTGGCAGCACAACAAGGGATACCTAACTGAAAAATGTGCAGTATATTTTCGACCCTAACTTAACAAAATAAAGTCGAAAGCCTATTGAAGAAAAGCACATAGTTTGTATAGTTTCACGCGCTTGTATGAATATTGTGAATTGTTTTAAATCTGTCTTAGTTCATAATAGTCTTCTAGTCCTAATCTTCTGAAGGATAAAGGATAGGATTAATTAATCTTTTTGTTAAATATTTAATAATAAAGTCATTTCTATTGTTCTTTAAATATAATTATATTAAATTAAATTTTATTGAGCTATTATATTAAATTTTCAAAGATTAAATTCTCGGAATAGGGTCTGAATTTATTTCTAGGAATGAATAAGCTCGCTTGTATAGAGGTAGAGGAGAGCTAGAGGTGCACATTACGGTACTTAATATCATTGTACAATGTAACACCGACTATTCGAGGTAAGCCTATTG